TCAGGGAGATGGATCAAATATTACGAATAATATTTATTTCTTTTTTCTAATTCTTTGCATTTTCTGAATCTTCTATCGTGAGCATATTTAATTTCTATAATTAGAAAGATAAATTTTAAAACTCTCAAATTAGTTACAAGAAATGGACCCTAATACTGATTGTGAGTTCAGTTTACAACCAGCATAGCACACGACTCAGAAAGCTTATGTTGCTTTCACCTTTTAGAAGTGGACTTCAAAGGTTTGATGAGACGAGATAAACTTCTGATTCTTTTTCCCTCCTAAATGGTTTAGTCGTCAAAACATGAGACGTGCTGTCTACAAATCAAACATAAATTGTGTTAAGTCAATTCTGTCTGTTTTTTGAGTGATTATGCATTCCAGGCGACCTACTTACCCAAATGTAGCCTCCTCAAGGGCAGATCCAGGACTTGTGACCCCTCTATGCCTGCCGGGAACTCAGAATCTCCCACTCAGTAACTACACAGTATTGGTTGTGATGATTCGTCCTCCTTCATTTCACAAGGATTTGTTAAATACTTGCCATGTGCAAGCACTGTCCCATGTCCCGGGCCGCAGCAGAGACCCAGCCTGACAAGGTCCCCCAATGGAGCCCACATTTTAGTAAAGGCTTGGAGATACACAATACACAAATGCTGTGAGAAAATAAGGCAGGAGGATGGCAGGAAGGCCTCTCTGAGGAGGCGACACGTAAACTGAGCTGGAAGACCAGAAGGAGCCCCGTCCACTGATGCTGACAGCTCTCCAGCAAGGAGAGCTGACAGCTCTTAGAGCCACGGCCCTAAGGGGAAATGAGCTCAGCTTGTTTTAGGAACTGGAAAAGGGACCAAGTGGCTTGAGGGAGGAGTGTGAGATGAGGGTCAGAAGAAACAGGAGCCAGAGAAAGGAGGGCCTCGTAGGCCGCGTCACTGAATTTAACTCTAAATAGGATAGAAAGCCGTTGGATGATTTTTAGAGAGAAAGAGAAGCTGAACTCTTCAACAAATAGATTTTAGAATGGATCCAAAAGACCAAGAGACTATAAATAAAAGTTTTGTGTTGCTTCTTGTGTGAAACAGTTAAGAGAGGGCATCGGGAAGAATAAGCTGGCAGAACGCAGAAGATAAATGAAGATAATAATAAAACTCATATTACAGAAATCAAAACCACGTTAGAAACAAAAGAAGTATAACAGATTCTGCGGAAAATATGTGAGGTCATAGAGCAGGCCTGAGAAAATTTCAATTGAATAAAGATATACAAGTGGTAAGACAAAATAAGTGCATAAAATAAAATGGTTAGAGAGAAAGACAAAGAATATAAAATTGCCTAATTGGCATCCTTGATGATGAGCCAAAAAATATTTAGAAGAAAAATCATTCAAATGTATATAACAGAAGAAAATACTTCTGACATAAAGAGTCTGGAATCTGTAGACTTCAAGTGCATGCCCCACTGCAGGAACTGTCAGCCCAGGGAAACAGCCTGGAAACTCAACCCTGGTGATGTTTTGTAACCTTAAAGACTCCTATACGATTGGAAGCAGAAAAAGCAAGTCATCTACAAGACAGGCTAGCCTCAGGCCAGGGTATGTCTCACAGCAACTTGCAATGCCAGAAGGCAGTGGAATACTAGCAGCAGAGTTCAAAGGTGAAAAATAAAAATAAAGATTGAATCAAGAATTTAACATCCAGGCAAGTTGTCACGTGTTGTTAAAGGTACCATAAATACATTCTCAATCATATAACGCCTCAGGAAATGTGGAACTCTTGAACCCTGCTTGAAAGAAGCTATTTGATCATGAAATCCAGCTAAATAAGAGATACATCAAAATAAAGAATTCAGGAATGGTAACATCCATTTAAAAAAAATACCGCTCATGAGCACTGAAGCCATTTGAATGTATAACTAACACAAAAGAGCTTTAGAACCCTTTAGACATAATGTTGGCACCTAAATTCAAGTACTACATTTTAATCAATTCCATTGGACTGAGTTACACCCAAGGCTCACAGGCTTCACCTGCTTTAATGGACAGTCTGGTAACCAAAAAAATTCGGATTTCGGAGCAGTATTTCCTTTGTCGGGGGAGCAGTATGGGGGAAGGGTTGAGGCCCCAGATAAAGGGGATTCACACAGGAGCCTCTTAACAAGGCAGAGGCCCAACAGTGAAATACAGATGCAGTGTGAAATCTTGGCATTTTTGATTGTCTAATTTTTTTCTGTGTTTATATATTTGTAATATCAATAAAAATACTCAATTTTCTTGGATATAACTCTCTTTGCATTATTTATTGCCGTAAAGTGGCTTAGCATTTGCATTTGGAAACAGCATTTTAATTTCTTTGAAGTTAAAAACTTAAATTATTTGTATGGTAAATGATAGAAATGACCAAATGGGTTTAGAATTCAGACTAAAATATGTCTTGTACTGTTGTGTAGTAACTTTGAAGTTGGTACACTGTTGTGATTGCCATGGAAATCTGTGTCCTGTCATGGTTGTTACAATTTCACGTAATAAGATGAGGAGACACTGTGTGTTCTAGCATCCACCCAGAAAGAAGGAGGGAGCATGTACCTCTAACTATAAGAAGCCATATATTTTTATTTTCTCTGAAATGAAATTCTCATTTTGCCTAGAATTCTTTCTTTTTCTCAAATTGCATTCATATATAATGTCTGGCACATATTAGGCCCTTAAATTAATATTTATTTGTTGTACTGTATTTTGACATCACTATTTTGTGCATGCACCGTGGAATCAGTCCAGCTTTTCACAGGCAAGCACAGAGCCTTGGCAAAGTATGCAAATGTTTTGATGCAATGAACCAAATGGTTTGCAGTTTTAAACTAATTACTTCAACTCATGTCTTCACTTTAGTTAGGTAGTCTAAATTTGTTTCAAATGCACAGCTTTTACCTTCTTGGAAAGTTGCCTTTTTGAGTGATTTTTAGTCTTGAGTTCCCATTTTGGTCTGAGGAACTTAGACTTTAACACTGTTTCCACAGTTACAAGCCTCAAGTGAATCACAGCCCTGGGAATTGAGTTCTCAAGTGTGTACACAACCCCCTTGACTCTCGGTTCCTGGTGTAGATGGCTGGCTCCAAGTCCTGCCTATGGGGATCAGGGACAGGGCTGTCTGCTTACCCTGCTGAAACACCGCTGGTGAGCCACGAGCCCACAGTCCTCGTCAGGACTGCGGGAACCAAGGAACCTTCTGGGGCCTTGCTAAGGAAGAGGGTAAACAGTGTCTAGCACAATGTCCATCTCTCTGAAAAGGAGCTGTTGGAGAAGAGGAAGCCTCTGCTTCTCAGAGCCACCTGGTGGACTGAGTTTTTCTGATCTCCTGGGTTTTCCAGGTGGATTCATACAAAATGCTTAAAAGTACAATGTTTTTCTCATCACTGCATTTCCAAATCCTACTTGTCCTTCAGAGTTGTACTCAAGTCTTACTTTCTGCATTAAACTATGTTGTTATATATTGGAAACATTTTTAGACCATAGAAAAGTAAAGAGATTAATATAGAAAACAATTGTGTACCGTTAGATGGTTTTTATCTAATTAAAAAAATATTACTGATGGTGTTAATGTAGCTTTTCTACCTACCCCCAACATAATTCTCCTGTCCCTCTCCCCAGAAGTAAGTTGTACCTTATCGTTGGGCTGTTAGGTAGAGTTTTTCAATGGTTCTGCCCTTTTCTGGATCTCAGTTTTTTGCAAGGAGTTCAGTTCCAGCTCTATAACATGACCAGGCTGTATGGCGCCCCCACACTCGAGCATTAGAAGATCCGAAGGCGTAAAAGCAGTCTGGAGCTGCAGCTGGGCCCACCATTTTGCCTGGGAACCATTCCCCCTCTTCTGACCTCCCCAACTTCCCCTGATTCCTGTACCGTTGAACATCTGGTCCAGCTTCCAATCACTCGTTCTATACCAACTTTACGTATAGAGTGTGTATTATCTCCCGACAAACAACGAATTCTTGAAGCAGCATCATTCTCCTTTTACAGCCACCTAGAAGGTCCTCTAAGAGTTCTTACATTACAGTAGACTATACCTGTAAGCCAGTCTCTTTATGAGAGACATGTGTACAGAGAGGTGTGCCTCACCTTATAAAACAGATGATGTCACAGCTGTCCAACAGTTATTAATAACCTACTATGGTCAAGTTAATGAACCAAGCATGATAAACCAGAAGAAATGCATAAAGATTTGGTTTCCCCACCTTGCAAAGTATCTATCTCAAATGATTATGATTCATTTTTGAAAATACACAGTTAACTAGGTCATGGTTTAAGTGTAGTAACAGCACACATGGTGTAAATTAAGGCCGTATTATTAATTTCATAACGACTTATATTTTAGGAATTATTTTTAAATATTTAGTTGTTTTTTCCCAAAAGAACCTGAAAATAAAGTGTTTGTCCAAGCAATTAAATAAGAATTGTTTACCTTACACTGAATTGTCAGTACCATTGGCTTCTCTACCACCATTTGCAAGTGCATTATTGCGCCTCATTTTTGTGCCTAGCACTGGCAGCTGATCACCATATAGAGAAATGCCAAGTCTGGTGTTTTGGAGCCTACACAGCAGTTCCTCTCTGTGACTGTGTGTGAACACAAACCCAAGATGGCCTTCGGCTTGGATTACTGAAATGTACTTGGCTGCATATTCCATTCTGTCATCTGCACTTAAACTAAAGCAAAATAAACCAACACACATTTCAGCGAAATTCTTTGTGAATTGATCAGTCGTTTGCATTACTGATTATAACTAGACACATTGCATTATTATACAATACACCATATTTTTACTAACACCATTTAAAATTTCACATGAAATGTCACTATAATTTTATCTCCATTAAAAATGCAATAAAGCCCGGAGTGTGAATTTATCAGTCACAGGACTTGTAGTGATCAGTTGTCAGTCAGGAACAGAATGTCCTAAACCAAAGACCTGCTGTAATTTGGACTTCTTTTTTTCTCTATTTTCAGACACTGCAAATGGATGTAAACAGGCTGAACGTGACCTTGCTTCAGATATTCCGCCAAGGAGTGGCTGCGGCATTAGGAGTCTCCGCCCAGCAAGTCCACATCAATCGCCTCCTTGTAAGATGCCCGCGGTTCGCACCCCCAGGGTGCAGGCTTTGACCTCCACTGACAGGCTCGATAATAAAGGACACCCACACTACAGTTCTGTGGCCCCTGAGCCCAATCTGGCACACCACCTGCTTTTGTAAAGGAAGTCTTGTTGGAAAAAGCCACACCCACTTGTTTGCAGAGTGTCTATGGCTGTCTCATGCTACAATGGTGTCATTGAGTAGCTGCAGCAGACTGTTTGGCTAAATTGGAAGCTAAAATATTTGCTCTCTGACCCTTTACAAGAAAAGTTGGTCAACCTTCTCGTAGTTCAAAGCTAGCCACCCTGGTAGGTAGGAAGATGGGGGCCCAAAATACCTGTCTCACCAACCTGACATGACTCCCAAAATATTCTCCCTGCGGGGATACCTTCTGTATCAGTTAAGGTGCTGTCTCCACAGTATTAAAACCCCTTCAAGTATATCGGTAGGATAAAGGATCCTGAAAGCACAAGGCAGAGGGTTTTGAATAAAGAAGAACCAATCCTTGAGGACACAGGCCAAATGGAAGGCAGGGATAGATAATCCTGGTATCTGGGGTGGGGATGGGGTGAGTCCAGAAGGCCCAGTGGAGACCACCTGTCTGTGACGACATCCTCTCCTCCTTGTTTGGGAACCTTGATGTCACCTGACTGCGTGTGCCTACTGCACTTGAAGCTGGGTTGAGCAAAGGCAGAGAGGCACATTCAAATCAGATGGTTTTCTCTTTGTAAAAAGCCAGTTACCTGAGGTTCCTGTGAAAAGGGACTTTGGAATCATCTTACAGTTTTAAAATTGTTCTTAATTTCCACTGCAATGGGAACTCAAGCAACGATTACACGTTCTCCTTCCTTGAATGCTATGCTGCTGCCTCAGCACTTGCATTTCCAGCTGTGGAGAAGAATTCACTTTTCATTTTGGTTTAGAATGTTTCTTTCTTTCTATTTTTCTGTGTAGAGGGTGAGTTGTTTCAGTCCCCATCTAGCTTTTATTCTGAGTCAACTATTTTCTGGGACTTACTAAGCTTGAGAAAACAAAGTTTTTAACTCAGAACCATAAAAGAGCAAATGCAGCATTCACCGACGTCCTGAAAGACGGAAATAGATTCTTCACACCCAGGGCACCTGCACCTCAAGTGAGCCAACATGGATGACGGGCGTCTTAGATCCAGGTTGTTATATGTACTTAGAGATCTCAGACACACTGTCATGGGTGTAGGTTAATGACATAATAGCCCTTTGCAGGGATAAAAGAGGAGTTTCCACACCCAGGGAGGGATGTGCCTGTCCTAGGAGAAGTTAGGAGCATTTCCACCTGTTTCCATGGGCAGTTCTTATAACAGGTAGAGTTCAATGCCTGAGGCAGCAGAACACGGAGACTGAGAGCATGTACTTCAGAGACAGACAGACAGACAGACAGACTGTACCCCACTTCCAGCTTGGCCATGTCCCCTCCATGTGGCCCTAGGCAAACTGTTTATGTTTCTTCATTTGCAAAATGGAGATAACTCAGAGACCTGTGTCCTGGAGGAGTTTTGAGCATGAAGTGAGGTGGCAGATGTAATGCACGTAGGAGCGTGTTGGACGCGGCACAAGGGCTCTGTTCCTGCGTTGTTGTTATGGGTCATAAACGTGTTTCACGTCAGCGTTATGTCGTGTTTAGTCCGTGTCCGTTGTTCCCCACAAACACGGAAACGTTTTTTTCTGGATTGCTAGGAGTACGTTGGTCTTCCACTTTATCCCCTGGCTGACTTGCTGATGAATTGCATTAAAAGAAAATTTTCTGGAGGAGAGAACTCTATGTATCAAAAAGAAAAGACTAACAATGCCCTTCTCTGAGGGCACCGTGAAAGTCGTAAAGAGAATCTGCCAGTGGCAGTGGCATCTTTGTGTGGGTGTTTTGCGTGTGTGTGTGGCGTATCAGCCGCTTATGGTAAGAAGCCATCCATCTCCATTTCCGCTGGCGAGGTAACGCTAACAGGAAGGTATCTTGGTGTTACTGCACCACATGTGCACTTCTACCGAAGGTAGATGTTAACAGTGTGACATTTGGGGTGAGGAACAGGATCAGGGAAGCAGCTTCAAAGCTCCTCCAGCATCACCGTCCGCAGTCCAGCCTTCACGTTAATACAGGTTATGAGAAAAGCTCGTGGAGTGGTGATGTCTGATCACTGTGCTGTTATATCAGGCTTTATTTAGTTCATTTGATTTCAAAATGCCTCCTTAAACATAGTTACTCAGGGAACATCTGAACGATATATTTTAAAAATTTCAATATGAAATGGAAAATAAACCAGCATCCAATGAAACACAAAATTACAGATCTCGAGATGTCGACTAATGGAAGGTGGCCATTGGAAGAGCTTAGCTTTGGGCTGGTAATATCAAGTGTACCACAGAACAGCTGACAAATGTGGTCTCCATGATGCCTTTTAGGGTGCTCGGGTTCTGATTTTCTTTAATGTTTCTAGAGGAAAAGTGAAAATATTTCCCAACGTTGTTTAAAATGTCTATTAACATCTGCAAATAATCTGCTTTTACTAGGAAAAGAAGAACAGTGTTGAACTATTTGTGTCTCCCGTAAGCCAGAAAGCAGGCGTCTCCGAGGCTCTGCCCTCTGAGGAAGTGCTGCGCTCGCTTAATATCAATGTTTTGCATCAAAGTTTATCTCAGTTTGGAATTACGGAAGTCTCCCCTGAGGTATGTTGTTGCGTGGTATATCGGTAAAAATTTGCACAGTTAGCGTGACGTGGTAACCCAGTCCCAGGAGGCTTCGAGATGGAAGCTGTTTATTATGTTATTTGACAATAAAAATCTCCCCAAGGGTCAGAATTCTCTGGTCTTCACACTATATGTGTTTATTCCTTAAGGAAATTCATTTTCACAAATGTTCACTTTTTGACATGTCTTCTTCGAATCTTTGTGGCCTTGTACTCTATTTTGACCTATCCAGTCAATTGTCTAGAAGAAAGGCTGTTTAGATATATTCGTCAGTTGAATACCTGAAACCAAAGTGTCCAAAAACACCCTCCAATCTTCCTTGCTCGACAGGGGTCTCCTCCTGCCTTCACTATCAAATGGTCACCAGACCATCACCTCTTTCCACAGCCTTGGAATTAATTTGAAATCTGATTTTTCTTTTGCCAAGGAACCCAATTTTAAGAACTATGGATATTTTCTTCAGAGCATTTTCCAAATTTGGCACTTTTAAAATTTCCCCACCATCTTCACCATCCTCACTCCCTGGTGAACTCAGTCCTTTTCACTTCTCCTCCTTCGTCCCACTCTACCAAACATGCCAGTATGGTCATCGTCCTAAACACATAGTTAAAACCACAGAATCAGAGAACTAGACCCTGAGGGAACACATGTGAACATTTTACAGATGCAGAGAGTAAGGCCCACAGAAACTAAGTGACCTCATCAAGGTGGCAGGGCAGGTGAGGTGTAAATCGACATTTAAAGTCTGGACGTCTCTATTCCTGTCTGTTCCCCTTTGAGTAAAGCACATGGCCTCTCATTTCAGTGAACGTCACAGCTGCGCTGTAGACAGCTTTGGTACCAGCCTGAGACTGGTCTCTACTCCAGCGCGAGAGATGTGACCTCGTCGGGTGATGTAATCTCTAAGATTAAGTCTGTCTGCATAGTGTCAGCCTCCCCCAGCCTCAGTTTCTTCATATCCAAAATGGGTATAATCCTTATCTTATAGACTTGAAATCTGAATTAAATTTTAAAGATATATATGGAAATCCTCCACGGAGTAGGCACCAAACAAATATAACTTGAGGGCAGGATGGATCAGCAGAGTGAAAACACGTTTCATCATTGACCCGTGACTGTGACAACCTCCAACCAGTCTCCCTGCACTTGGTTTCCCTCCCTCCCTGCCCTCTCTGCCCCCAAGCGCATGCACACCCACACACACACGCATGCACACGTGTGCATTTTCTCTCTTGCCACCAGAGTAATCGTTCTGAAAGCAGGTCTGGCCGTGCCCTCCTAACGGCGTGCTTCTTCCTGGGCTTCCTAAACGCTGCAGAAGCAAGTCTGGAATTCTTAACGTGATACATGGTCCTTCATGTGCTGGGCTTTATAATTGTTGAACAACACTCCTTGTTTGTGCTTCAGCAATTCCAAACTGAATAGGTACCAGGACACCCCACAGTGTCTCTTTCCTCCATGCTTGTGCGTCTGTTGATCCGTCTGCACATCTTTCGTGCGTCAAGATCAGTCTCCTATACAGCAAAGACTTCCCTTCCCTCCCCACACGCGTGGATGTTTGCTGCGTTCTCACTGAGCTCGGTACAAAGCGCTTCTCCCACGTAGGTCTTTACGTCCATCTCACGCTGTAGGCTCCTGAGAGCACACGCCATGTCATTTTATCGGCATCCTCAGTGCCTGCATACAATGTGCTCACAAATAGCCAAGCTCGGTGCTGGGTGGGATCCAAAGTCGGACAAATAAATAAATAAACAAATACAGTATAATTTTTGCTTTCAATGAGTTTATGTTCTAACAGGGCAGATAAGATACAAACAGATAAGGAGAATACGGGACCATGATAATGTTACCAGCTGTGTCACGGGAGCTTTGAGGAAGAAGCGCCACCTCACGCTTCAGAGCGGCCGGGGACAGGGTCAGCCTCAGCCACAGCAGCAGACCCCTGCCCAGCCCCACCTGCACGAGACTCTGAAGGGGTCCCTTTTGTCCGTCAAACCAAACCCCATTCCCATACTCCAGGCCCTTCGAAGGCTGACTTGCACACACCTTGCCGGTGACAATTCTTCTTTAAAGTAAAAAAGACCATTGGATTAACATATTCTGTTTCCCATAAGCTTTCAGTGAATAATATACGCGTTCCTCCTTGTTGCTTTATTCTGAGTTTAAATGCCATTCTGAGGGCTTTAGGAATATCACAGCTTAGTGAGTCATCCAGATTTGCGAACCACAAGAAGCTCACCATACAGAAAATTAGTTAAAATGAAGTGTGTGGGGTCCTCCAGCACATCCCAGCCTGGTGGAGCGGGGAGCTTAGCCTGACTGCCTGTTAGAGCACCACTAGCCCACAGGGACCCTGGGTTTGCACTGCACTTGAACAATCAAAGTGTAGTTGATGGTCAAAATGTGGGGTATTTTTTATGAAATTGTGGGAATCTAGAATCTAGGAAATATTACATTACAGGAGACTAAGCAGTGTTTTAATTGAATGTAAAGAGCATTTCATCAGGGACAGATGGATTGTTTGAGCCCTTTGTCCGTGGCACCTCTAGACCGGGCCACATGACGCTCTGACCTGAGCTCTAAACACAGACACAAGAGAGCTGTGTGCAGGCTCCCCGGCCCTCGGGGCTCAGACACGCACTGCGCAGACGCCCCGTGAAGCAATCATTGAGAGTTGTTTAGGCTGGTGAAGGTATTCTGTGCCTCTCCCACTTTTTTATTCATCTTTGTGGTTAATGTGTGATAACAGCTTATGTCTCAACCCATTCTTTCACATTTCTATCCCATAATTATAGCTCTGCTATGGTAACATGCTTATTAACAGAAAAAAGGAATATTGGTATTTTGGGTTTTCGTCCTGTATGTGGATACAGAACATTGTGAATGATGTCTCAGAGCATCTGTTTCTAGACTTACATTAATTACTTTCAGGGAAGGATGTGTTTTTTGTTGTTGCTATTTCTTTATTTGCTTGATTTTTTTTAAATCAGAATGACTCTTGGGAAACAAAGAAAAATACCAAAGAGAGAATTGCTTTCATTTATTCATCTGTTTTCATTTCGAATCTAAGTTTCTTGGGAGAAAAAGACATTATTTGTTTTATGTATTTTTATGTGTACCTAGAATACTGCAGGCACTCAAATCTTATTTTACTATAAGATGCTCACAAAGATAAAACTGGACTTCCCCAGCCTAATAAGTCAAATCTCAGGGAAATAAAATTAAATTTATTATTTTAGTTTCTATTTTTAAATGTTTTTACAAGTTAATTAAATATCTATTGGAAACAAGTTGCATTGATATTGAAAAAATGATTTAGGATTCTGTGTTGTTGTTCAATAGCAAATTACTCCAGTTTCACAGTCTTATATTTCAAAGGTGGAAGTTACCTTCTTTAAATAACAGGCCAGTGTGCTGACTGATACTTTCATGGAATAGACACAAAGAGAAAAAAAGTGTACCAAATAAATATAAACCATAATCCATGAGTTTGGTGGTTGTTCCTTCAAACCGGGAACGTTAGCCAGCACTCTAAAGAATTACGGTCCCAGCCGTACAGTGCCCAGGAGAAATGCAATCAATGTTAACGTGTCAGATCATCCAGACCGAACTGTTCACCTTTTGCACAATACAGTGGAAGTTTGGCATTCATCCAACAGAACAATCCTGGTGTAGGACACATCCCCCTTATCTGCCCAAGTCAGTCAGCTAACCAGATCATTCACAACATTTCCACTTCAGTCCTGTCCTATGTGCTTCCTCTCCCTAGAGAGATATATCTCCTGAAGCCTCTGTATCATCTCTCCTAGCCTTTGGGATCATTCCCAGCATTTGGGATCAGAATTGGTTTAAAAAACAAGAAAACCATAGTGCATCAAATTATTAAACAGGATATAGAAGAATCATTCTTGTTGATACAGGAAACTGCCCAAATTTTAAATAATAAAACAAAACAAAACCCAGCAGCTTCTTTCATAACAAAGTCAAAGGGCAAAGCAATGTAGTTATGAATAAGACATAAAGATGATACAGTGGCATTGGCTTGACCCGGCCACAGAGCCTCTGAATTACCAGACCCTCAGCTCCCGATCAAAATATGAAAAGTGTCACGTTAAACTTATGCAAAGGTTAGACTGGAGATTGCTGTGAATTATAATCTTTTGATTTGTGGGATCCTAACTACAGACTTTTCCATTTATTATCTGGCCCTTATCAAGTTGTTTAGATCTCTGAACAAATGTGGTGCTCAGCAGCAATAGCATGACTCAGAAGGAAATCTATTTACCAGGAAGGTGCAGTGACTAAGTTCTAGGAGTTCAGAACAAGTATCTTTCTAATGCGGGTAGGGGATGGGAGTGGGAGGTTAGTTCTTCCATCATCACTGCTCTGGTTAAAAGAGAAAACAAAACAGATTTGTCTGAAGAGAAAGGAACATGTGGATGTTCTAGGAGGTGTAGAACTATAGCAGGAAAAAAAGAAATGAACCAAATCAGGTTAGGAACACAAAATCTCTTTCCACCCACCTAACCACCCCTTTTTATCCAAATTTTACACGAACTGGAGCTCAGATCCTCATCCTTAAATTTGACAAGTTTATGCTGCCTACTTGAAGGCTTAACTAGTTTGCTTTTATAGCAAGCAAGAGGTGTTATTTAGTTGCCTGCAAAAATTCATTTCCATATTTATACCTGATTTCTACAAGAGTATTCTTTTCTATTAGTTTCCAGCTCTGTTTATACAGACATTGGAATAAAATAAGATCTGGCTGAGGTCAAAGAGTAGAAGACAGGTTGTTACTTGAACCCAAGATTTCCTTTCCAGCAGGATACTTGGTTTCTAATCATTTCATCAAGCAATTAGTTTCAGATTCTCCATCAACTTAACAGTTACATATTTTTAAAACATGGAAATTATTTCTGGTGTCTATGAATTAGTCTATGTCTTAGAAAGTAGACAATATATTATAGTGAGCACATCGATGTTTTACAGGCGAAAGAAATGGAAACTCAACTGCTTCCAACAATAGGAGTCCTCCTCAAGTGGTTCTGTATCACCATAGAACTCAGAGACCCTTTCGTTCTGTCTTGCTCAACTCCCCACCGAGACTTGCTTGAGTTCCAGGATCAAAGTTTTCATAAAATATTTTTACAGGCAAATATTTCTTTTTGTCCAATTTACAAATGTTGAATGTATTTTATTTTTTTAAAAGTCTTGAAAACTAATTAGCAGTGATTTCAAAGTTCAGACACCTAGAAGGACAGGTTTTGTTCAAGGATTGCTTTTTTTTTTTTTTTTTTTGAGACAACTACTATTTATTTCTCATGATTCTGCGGGTTAACGAGGATCAGCCAAGTGGTTCTTCTGTTCCACGTGGTACAGGCTGAAGTCACCCCAGCCCTTACATTGAGCTGGGAACGAACTCACCTACCCTGGAATGCCCACTGCCCTCTCATTCTCCAGGTGGCTTTTCATCATTCAGTATCTTGTTGCTCAGGGCTTCTCAGTCCTTGGAGACCATATCCGAGGACAAGCAGGTAGTCTCACTAACCGGGAAAAAGGCCGACTTTAACCACGTGGAGTTCTAGGTGCTCGGAAGAATGTGACTTGATTTAGCCTGTATATGTGTTTCCTGATTGTGGACCCTTTGGTTTCAAGCTAAAGTTTCTTTAACCATAAATCTATAAATTTCACTGAATTATAAAACTTAATTGCATTTGATTTTAGGAGATGGTTTGTTTTTTTTTAAAGAATAGATGAGAAAAGAGAGGAATGGGTGAAATAAAGCCAAGCCACCCGTTCACATGCTGTTCTTGCTTCTTCTCGACCTCCCACCCCCAAGCAGTAAGCAAAAAATAAATGTAAATAAAACTATTTATTTTACCTTTTATTACCAAATAATCCTGGACTTTTTCATGTTCCCTGCTGCTTTAAATAAAATACAATATCCTAACAATTTATATGGTTGAGGTGGTACTTCAATCAGATTTCGACAAAGTAGACTGCATTTAAAAAAAAAAAAAAACATTTGATAAAAGAAAAAGAAGGAGGGGCCAGCCCAGTGGCACAAGCGGTTAAGTGCGCGCGCTCTGCTGTGGTGGCCCGGGGTTCGCCGGTTCAGATCCCGGGCACGCATCGACGCACCACTTGTCAAGCCATGCTGTAGTGGCGTCCCATATAAAGTGGAGGAAGATGGGCACAGATGTCAGCCCAGGGCCAGTCTTCCTCAGCAAAAAAAAAAAAAGAGAAGGATTGGCAGATGTTAGCTCAGGGCCCATCTTCCTCACAAAAAAAAAAAAGAAGGAAATGACCCTGACATTATTGCTCTGTTTACAAATGCATCACGAGATTTTGTTTGCACCTGTTTCACTTTTGTTGGGAAGTTCAGAGCTGAATTACAGCACGTAAGCCAGGGTGTTGGTGTTGTGGGAGGGACTGAACACGGGGTAAGGAGCAGCTTCCTCAACACGGAGAAGAGCAGAACTCTCTTACCTGTGAAGCAGGTAATTTCCGAGAGAGGCAGCAGGACACTTGCTCCTGACAGGAGGTACACAAGCTCCCCGTGTGTAAGGAGGCGCTGCCTTGTCTTGGATGCGCTGGCAGCAGCTCTGGCAGTGGGGGTGTAGGTGTGTTCTACTGCGCTGAATGGAATAAATCTAAAAATATGCTTAGTGTCTGATAAGAGCGCCAGTCTCCTCAAGCCCTCATTTAACGTCGGACTTTCTGTTTTGCTTTTAAAGAAAAATGTTTTACAAGGGCAGCATGAAGCGGACAAAATCTGGAGCAAAGAAGGATTTTATGCTGTTGTCATTTTTCTCAGCATCTTTATTATTATAGTAACGTGTTTGATGGTAAGTTTTCTTCTTTATGTATTTTATTCTCTGCTGAGCCCACTGCTTAATGGTATTTGATACATTGCCATTCAAATGAATGCTGAAAAGACCGGAAACTCTGATACTGTTAGATGAGGAATATCTCATGTCTGACAGAAGAGTCACAGCTGAAGGGAAAACTGCAGAACTGTGGACGCTGAGCTGCAGAATAAGCCGTGATTGCAGCGAAGCTTTTGGTGACTTGATCAACCCTGAGAAGGAAGGTCACTGAGCCCACAAAGTCACTAAAGTCTCACAGCATGCTCCAGGCTGACTTTATTTCTTCTTTTATGTCTTTGGGAACTCAGGAAAAATTTTAAAAAGAAATATGTCTTGGGGGAAGCTTACTCCTTAGAGAGGGTTTGATTTCCTTATTCTTAAAGAGCTTGAAAGCATTCTGTGAAATTCTAGGCATGAAAAGGAGACGATTATAGACTCAAAGGCTGAACAATCCAATACCGGCTGATTTTTAGGTAAATGAATAATAAAAAAAGCATAAAAGTGTACACGGCAAATAGCTCTGAAAACTACAAATTATAAATGTGTGGCCTTTAACAGTACATTTCTAATTTAAAAAAAATAGAACCCAAAATAAACCTAAACCCACTAAACTAGGCAGTGCTACTTGGTATTGAATGAGTTAACAGTTACCTTTCCAATAGAATGATAAGATTTTCTGTTCTTTTGAAAATTCTGGGATGTAACTTAAAATATTTGAACTTTACAAATGAATTTTAATATTTTTTCTGTATACTATGTTCGGTTTAATTTTTCACATTTTTAGAAACCTTCTTTCTTTAGTTTTTAAATGCCTCAAAAAAGACATCCTGTTATTTATTCTTTCTGTGCTCAACAATAGTGTCTTATTGGATTTTGCTCGTTTGTGCTCCCCCTGCCAGCAAGGGGCTTATGTTAGAAAGATCAGGCTCAGTTTGGAAAGACAGGCTGAGTGTGTCTAAACTTGAAGGATATAGAACATGAAGGCCTTAAGTAGGGTGAAGACCAGCATGTTTCCTTGAGTCTGAGTACAGGAGGCAGCGAGAGCACCCTAAAGCTCCCATCATAATGAGTTCAGGGGCACCTCCTATGGGGCAGGCATTAAGAAAGGAGATTTCTAAAAATTGTGACACAATAAACAAAAGAATCACATAAGAATTGAGTAAGAAAATGGAGTTTTATATATATGAAATGATGGAGATTAAGAAAAAAGAATTTTAATGAGAGAAAGTTGGAGGTTTTATGGAAGTCGTGGCAGAGACCTCTGGGCACATTCCAGTACTTTAGGGATGTGGCTGCTCTGGTTGTTCTGGTTAATTACACTTTAAAATATGTGGTTCCCCTTTTCTTAACACCGGGAATCTTGAGGGCTGTTCTCTGTCTTGTCAGTCACAGTTAGGATGTTTTTCTCTGCACGGGTGAAAACAGATGAGAGGAAGGAGAATAGACAGAGGTAGAGAGTGATGAGAAATGGAGATTGTTCAGGGGTAAAGGGTAAGATTCAGAAGAGCGAGGATAGGGAAGGACAGAAGCAGGGAAGCGGACTCCTGAGCAGCTGTGAGCACAGAGGGCAGAGGAGCAGAGTGGAGCCTGCTCTCACCCTGGAGGATGCGCTCCAGATAAATCCCATGTGACGCACTGGTCTCAGGGCAGGACCTGTGGTAGCCACATCCTCAGCCACTGGGGGCGGGGACAGCTCTTCCTTTCCCAGTATTTGCAAAGCACCAAGGTAAAAGTCAGAAACTGAGTTAAGTCCGCTCCAAAGATACTAGGACAAATCGAGAAGGGAATGTTTCAAAAGCTTAGGGGAGCTCTGTCTACTGGGTCGGTAGGTCGACCCATCCATTCAGTCCACAAATTCCTGCAGAGGATCCACGATGGGGCTGTGTTGGCGCTGAGAGCAAAGGAGAGAACAAGAAGATAAGGTCCTGCTCTCACGAGGCCTACACTCTAGAGGGGACACAGGCAAAGAATAAGTTAATATTTTTAAAAATCAAATTGTGAACATACTGTATGATTCCAAGAATATGACATTCTGGAAAAAACAAAAAACTATAGAGACAGTGAAAAGATCATTGGTTGCCAGGGTTTGGGGGGAAGGATGAATTGGGGGACACAGCAGATTTTGGGGGCAGTGAAACTATTCTGTATGATACTGTAACAGTGACTACATCACGTTATGAATTTGTTAAAACCTTCAGAACGTACAACACAAGAGTGAGCCCTGATCTAGAAGATGGACTTCAGTTAATTATCATGTATCAGTATTGGCTCATCAATTGTAACAAATGTAACCACACTAATGCAGGGTGTTAGTAATAGGGGAAGGTATTTAGGGAGGAAGGGAAGGGGGGCATATGAGAACTCTGTACTCTGCTCAGTTTTTCTGTAAACCTAAAACTGCTCTTAAGAAACAAAGTCTATTAATTTTTTTAAAAAATTCAAGTCATGTTAAGTGCCACAAAGAGAGAACATACTGTTTGAGAGTGAAGCAGAGCACTCTGAGACGTGTGAAAACGTGGGGAAGTGCCCCCCGGCAGAGGACAGGCCGTGGGGCAGCTGAGGCGGGCGTGCTGGGCCTCTCCGGGTTCAGGAGGAAGCGGAGAGCCGAGGGTCAAGCAGAGCTTCATGGGATCTGATGCCATGTGATACACCCACTTCATGGGTGCACGTGAGAGATCACGGTCTCTGCTGTGGAGAGTGGGTGGGCAGAGCACGAGGGGAGGGGAGGGAGTAGAGGACTCTCCTGCAGGCTGCTGTATAGCGGATGAGACAGACAACGGTGGCCCCGGGTCGAAGGGAGAAGGGAAGAGTTGGGACGTATCTGCAGGTAGGGCTGACAAGACTCACTGTGCACGGATTCTCAGGGGAAGGAGAGAAAGAAATTAAGGCTGACTCCTAGGAGATTTGGCTGACTACCTGGGAGGGTGCTCCCATCTCCTGGAGGTGGGGAGTAGGGAGAGAGAAGCAATATTTTTGATTTGTACTCCAATAGTCCTTGAATAAATAAAAGAAAGAAGTAGACTGACATATTTCAAACACTATCTTAAATTTTAATATGAAAGGGTCGCTTTAAAAACTAACAGAGGAACCAACAGTACATAGAAAGGAATTAACATTGATAGAAAAATAAACACTACCTAATTGACAAGATTAAGGTGAATTTAAGTTTATCTGATGCAACTTAACCTCTAACAAGTCAGCAGTTCCCATTCAGGGGCTCGTCACATGTGATTCTCTAAAATAAGCTTGTCTTTGTAAACGTTCCAATGTTTTGATAATGATCTTGATCTAAGGTAGATTTCTTACTTGCATCTCTCAGGAATGAGAGATGATTCTCAAACTTTTGTGATTCTCAAACACATATATTCTGATTATGTTTCCCATAATTTTGTTGATTCCATGGCAAAGGAAAAGATATTACTCAGAATGTTCCCTCTGGCATTAATTACAGTTTTGAAAGATCAAATACTATTATTTGCATCCAGCCTTCCTACACAGCATAGAAATGAAAAGTGTGTGGCTTTGTTATGAATTCATACAGGTAAATTGCTGTAATGGTAGATTAAGTGTGCTATATAAGAATAACATAAGGCTTGGCAAAATTTTTGAAATGTGGCATATTGTTTACTTTCCTTAAAATAAAAAAAAAATTATGTTGCCAGGCATAAAATTAGACATGCGTGACATTTTCAAAAGTGTGAGTTATTTAGCACCTCTCAAATGTGAGTGTAGAGTGGGTGGAGCGACAAATAGACAAATATAATTTTCCAAGAAAAAATGTGTGGGCAATTTCCAATCCATTCAGTCTGTTTTAGGTGGAGGAAATTTATTACTAAGAAGAATTGGTTCTTAAACTTGAATAAATAATAGAAAGAACACCATTTATCACCTACATCAGACCTTCAAATGTACTTAGATGTTTATTAACAGGTGCAAAGGTATTTATGAAATGTAGGTAGCAATGTCTACAAGGCACATTGCTTCTGGAAAGCAATTTTAGAAAACACATAAAAACCGATGTTTGGGTCAGTAAAAGCTCTGGCACGTTAGACCCACAGAAGGGCCATCCATATGTCATGCAAAGAGTTCCTCTAGTGACGGCTTGGTAGCTGAGGCAGGAAATCCTGTATCAGACCCCCTGCTGCAGCCTGAACATCACACAGTACATACATGTCAAGGTGGGCATACACAGCACGCTTTTCTAATTTGTTACCTGTAGTCCCTGAGGACTGAGGGAGATGGGACTAGATTCTTAGCTGGAATGATTTGGTTACGGAACCATGTTCCAAAGTAGGCATATGTCTCAAACTAATTTGCAGTTTTTTTCTGTGTTAATAAAAACCATTTAGCTAAGAATACAACCCTCTAATAATAATAAAAAAAAATAGTAACAATAATAATAGTTTCATTCATTGCACACTAACTGGTACTAAATTTACTGCCTGATGCTAAACACTTAATATATTTTTTAAACCATTTTATTGACATACAAAAAACTGTACATATTTAATGTATACAACTTGATGAGTCCAGAGATAAAATACACCCGTGAAACCACAATCTATGCCATAAACCTCTCCATCACCTCTAAAATTTCCTCTCGCCCCCTTTGTTTATTATTATTATTATTTTGTGTTGTTATAAGAACACTTAACATAAGATCTACTCTCTCAGCAAATTTTTAAGTAAACAGTACAGTGTTACTAACTATAGGCTCTAGGCATAAACACTTGTTGTATTTCAGCTTCCTAATTTTAGGGATGAGGGAACCAAGATTCAGAGAAGATAAGTGACTTGACAAAGAACATATAGTGGGTGGGTTTTGGGGGGACAGGGGGTGTCTGAGAGGAGGGGATGAAATTCAAACCCAAGTCTATCTGGATTAAAGTCTGGGCTTTTTGCCATGATCCATGTATAGAGGAGTTAAACCCCGGCTTCTTTAAATCCTCTCACTCTATCTCGTGAGCAACTATTTCTGGCCACAAAGGGTCCAGTAACAGATGAGAAGGCCCATGTTAACCAGAGACATCACCCCAGGCGGGACTGGTACCACACCCGCTGTGGACACGTCTCTGAGCGTCCTGTACTGGACGTAACTCTTACACCTCCGTCTCTCCTGGAAGCCTGTAAGTTCCCAGAAGCCAGGGCTGTGTGCTGTTTTTTCATCCAGGGTAGTTTCTGGAACATAATAGCAATTGATTCACGTTTATTCAACCGAAAGAAATGGATGAGTGAACTCTTTCAGAGTAGCTGTGAAGAAGGAGTGCTGTGGACCGTCAATTAGCGATATCATTTTAAAATCTGAACATACTTTAATCCAAACATGTGTTTTTTGTGTTACCTACTGATGAGATTTTCTAAATGGAAATTATAAGCTGCAAAAGAGCGTGTGGGATTTCTTCAGGTTCTTCTTGTTTCAGTGTCCCTCTGGTTCCCTTCTTCCCCCATTCTCTTTTCCTCTTGCTGTCTTTGACTTGCACAGCTCCTCTCCTTCCATATTCCTCCCTCTTTTCCTTTTCAAATGATCAGGTGACTCCATTGCCCCCCAAGAGTCAAACACAAGCTCTTAGAGGTAAAGTCAGAGGCGTTGACTAGCCACTGCTCTGGTAAGCTCTTAGATGCATTCACATGGAGAAATATGCGTGTGCTGTGTTCCAGACCTCAGTCTGTGTGGAGAGAAATCTCTGCCGCCCTTTTCCAGAGGCTTTGGGAAGAGGACGTGGGGATTTAGAGGAAACAGTGGAGTGAATGATCACAGGTCTAAGAGAGAACCTGGATTCTAGACTTTATTTCTAACTTTCCACAGATCATTCAACCATTCTGGGTTTAAATGTGAAATGAGGAGATTAAACCAGAGGATTTTTAGATCCCCCACACCAGTTTCTCAACAACAGCACTGTTGACATTTGGGGCTGGACACTTCTACTGGGGGAGAAGGACCGTCCTGTGTGTTATGGGGTATGGCAGCATCTCCGGCCTCTGCCCACAAGATGCCAGCAGCCCCCACCACATACCCTCGTATGACAACCAAAACCATCTCCAGCATTGCCAAATGTCCCATGAAGGGCAAAATCCCCACAGCTGAGAACCAGTGCCTTACAGGTTAATCCACAATAGCCACCCTGCCACCAGCGAGTGACCTCTTCAGTCCTTTCCACATCTTGTCAGACAGCCCGGTCCCTCTCCTGAGTAGTTTTAATTTTTTTTTTTTTTTGAAGATTGGCCCTGGGCTAATGTCTGTGCCCATCTTCCTCTATTTTTTGTATGTGGGACGCTGCCACAGCATGGCTTGATCAGCGGTACGCAGGTCCCCACCCAGGATCCAAACCCGTGAACCCAGGGCTGCAGAAGAGGAGCCACTGAGTTTAACCACTACACCACCAGGCCGGCCCTCCTGGGTGTTTTTAAACAGTGACTTACAAGCATGATACATTCTCCACGTTCTGCTTTTCCCTAATTCAAGATGCAGAAATCATTTTGTACACATGCTGCATAGAGACGGATCAAGAAGTTGACCTCTAACCAGAGAAGAAGGAGACAGGTGGCTGTAGAACTCGTGATGAAGGTTCCTCGTCAAGAGCATCAGCTCGTGGACGGTGAGGAGGACTGTGGACCAGAGCTTGTTTTACAGAATAAAACCACAAAAGTGGCCTGTCGAGAACTGCTGAGAAGGCAGCATCTTCTTGGCTTTCTCATTTCCATTTTTGAAATAAGCTTCTCCAAAACCCACTTAGTGTCAGGCATCTTTTTCTTCTTGTGCTGTAATATCTGTCATGAGAATGCTTAGAACCCATTGTTTTCAATAATCTAAGATTCAGCTTTACCCTACCAGAGTCACCAAATGCCACCAGCACAAAGGTTTCCAGGTTATGAGCACGTGAGCTGACACAAAAGACAACAAGGAGTCCCCTTAGTTTCCTGGGAGTTCAATTTGTAGCAGGCATTTCTGGTCACACCTCACGTGCACATCGTCCTTTTCCTCACAGAGAGCTTTCAACCCACGAAGATGGGCTGTGAGGTCAGGTGGCGCCGAGGCCCAGCAGTGTGACTCCAGAGGCCATCTTCAGGATGGTGACGTGGGGGCCGCAGCAGAGGTGACGCGGGGGTGGGAGAAGCCCAGACCTGCAGTCAGACCTAGGTCGGGCTCGGCGCTGCCATGCCAACTGCTGACTCTGGGCAGCCGTGCTCTCTAGCTGGACCGCGAGTTCTTTAATGTGTAATTGGGTCAGAAGGACCTCTAGTGACCGTTCCATCTCCAGTTCCCTCCGGATCCCTAATCAAAACGTCACCAAACCTACATTCACCCCGGTTTTTTTTACCTCTGCCCACCCCAGTCTTCTTTCTTGCTGGACTGAGATGTTGGACCTGAGACATAACTAATTTAGTCTTCACTCTGTGTTTAAGTAATTCCACTCCCTTTTATATCACAATTTCTCGCTCTTCAGTTTTAATTTTGAGTCATCTCTTTACTCAAAAATTTGAGTAAATTTTTTTCAGGAAGGGACCTTGCATATTTGAGAAACTCTTTCTGTTGGCTTCATACACACGAACATCAATTTATCTAGTTGTGGGGTTCATGCATCCTCTGTAATAGGCATATTTTTCTCAAAGCCGTGAAAATTGCTCCATTTTCTTCTCACATTTACTATTCTTTCAATTGACATACATTTTTCTTAAACTGAGAACTTTCCTCATTCCATATCCCTAATTCCCTAGGAAGGGGGTGCAGTCCGTTCTGTTCGCAGCGGCTGCTCTGGACCTCTCACAAAGCTACGTGGGCACTCCACGGGAGAGAGTTGTGAGCGGCTCGCTTCTCCTCGTTCATTCTGCTTTATCATTCATGGTGACTTCTCTGACTTCCGTAACCTATCTTTTCTCTTGTTTTTGTCTTCATTTATTTATTTATCCTTCGGCCCTACACTCCACGAGTCTCTCAACTTCACCCTCTGTACCACTGATTGTGTTTTCTGCATTCTCAGTTCTGTTCTTTATTGCTTGCAAAGATTTACACACTGCCACTGAGTTTTCAGTTCTTTGAATTCTTTTCTTTTTAATCTCAATCTGATACCTTTTTGTGTGTGTGTGAGGAACATTGGCCCTGGGCTAACATCTGTGCCCATCTTCCTCTACTTTATATGGGGGACACCACCACAGCGTGGCTTGATAAGCAGTGCGCAGGTCCGTGCCTGGGATCCAAACTCATGAACCCTGGGCCACCAAAGTGGAGCATACGAACGTAATCATTACGCCACTGGGCGGCGCCCCTGATTCTTTTTTTATAATCTTATTATGTTAAACAGACTTCTTTTACCACTATATTTTGAGAATACTGGACAAATATTTTCTAAATTTTCCCTGAAATAAATTATCAAAGGTACTTATTTCCTTCACAATTTCAGTTGAATACTTTCCTAATTTTCTTTTCTGTTTATTCATCCTTTTATAAGAAAAAAACATAACTGGACTTTGTATCTTTCCAGTAGATTTCAAATAGAGTGATTACTAGAATTTAAGGGAACTTTAAAAAAAAAAAAGGAAAGAAAGAATTAGCCTCACGACTGGTTAAAGTAAATGCGATTGAAAAGAGCCATGATGACCCCTCCCCCAAAATAGCTCTCACTCAGCTAATGGATTCCAGAAATGAGACAGGGGCTCCACCATCCTAAGTCTCTGTAAGATGCAGACACTCTAGTGCTATAACTGCAGGTAACGGGCTAGGTCAGCCTTTCCCGTGAATTCACTCAAGTTACCTCTTGAGGACAGGCTTGAAGGAACTCAAGGACATCCAGTTTCTACAGGAATCAGAGTAGAGGAGTCGACATCAAGGGAAAAGAAAAAATGTCAAATCATCACATTGTATACTGTAAACTTATACAATGCTGTGTGTCAATTATATCTCAATAAAACTGGAAAAAATAAAATGAGTTTTAAAAAGTAATAAATAAATAAATTTTTATAAGAGAACAGGGAAAAAAGGCCATAAAAAGGGAATCCTGAGGGCAGGAAAGATGAACTTCACTCACCTCACAGTTTCATCCACTGGAGGTTCCAGCAAAGTCTCCAATTCTTTTAAAAGTTTAAAAGTGAAGATCCTACCATTTCTGAATTGAATTAGCCATTCCAGAAAGAACTCTGAGAACGGAGGAAAGTGATACTTTTGCTTTTCTCTGCATGTATTAAAAATTGAAAGGGAAAGGATAAGAAAGAAAATTCTGGTTGTCCAAATGATTCTTTGATATATGCCCCAAATTTAATGTTTTCAAGTATTTACCAGATACTCAAGTTAATATATGACTAAGTAGATATTTACCAACATAAGAAATTATGGTTTGTAGCATAACTATCCTTTCGTTAATATTTTGCAAGACTTTCTTCTTACACGTTGTGTTGGGTGCCAACCTCTTTTTCTATAAATATCTTAAGCCCATATTTCATGGCTATTCCTTCTATAAGCTTCCATGTCAGTCATTTCAAGTAAAAGCTTACGTGGCTTACATGTGATCACACTGACACCTGGCACTTCTATAAAATTAACAAATTTCTTTTGAATATATATTTGAGGAATAGATTCATGTACATATATATTAATATGTTGGTGCACCATAACTGGAAATACCAAGTGTATCCTTTTGAGAAAAATCTCAATGCCTCAAAACTGAGGAGTCATCCTAGAGGGCTTTACTTACTGGTACTGTCATTAACCCTTTATTTTGGGTTGTCTTCTAGATTGGGGTGGAGGAGACTACACTTTGTTGTTGACTGAAAAAATGTGACAGGAGCCCTTATATCTCCTTCTATAGATTCTTTACAGAATAAAAGAAAGGTTTCAGCTTTCCCTGAGACAAGATAAGGAGAAAAATCAGGAGATCCATCTGTCACCCATCCCGTTACAGCCGGCGCAGTCTGAGGCGAAGACGGTCAACAGCATGGTCCAGCCTGAGCGGCCCCCGAGGGTACTGACTGTGGCCGTGGACCCTCAAGGCCGGTACGCTCCTGAGATCAAAGCCACCGCCTCTGTCTGCCCTTCTCCTTTGAGAATGAAGCCCATAGGACTTCAGGAGAGGTAAGCGTTTCTGTACCCCTACATGTTGCTTTTTTGTTTTTAGAGGGTTCACCAACCGAAAAGGACAGAACTAGAGATGATTGGCATGTCGGGCAGAATTGTTCACCACCTAGTAGACGCCGGGAGCAGGTGGTCTTTCTTGTCCCCAAAAGAGTCTAGCTGTTTTACCAAAAATCTTTTGTGACATCTGATTCTGTTAAGCTGGTGTAGACCCAAATCAGGGTCTTCTTGAACTTCTGGACAGCTTCTACAATCATTTACTGAGTGCTTTCTGGGGGCCACTCACCTAACATAACACTATCTTGTTTAATTGTCATCAAAATCCTGGTAGATAGAAGGACTGGGAATAAACAGGTTATTTCTCACCAAAGACCACATTGTTTGGAGTAAGGCAGAAACAGTCTATGCCACAAATTAAATATTTTATAAAGTTTTCCCTCTGCTTTCTTTGAGAAAAACAAACAGTAAATATCTCAAGACCCATGATGTTATTTTTGTTGCCCCACCTGCCTTTGTGATGTACTTACACTGATTCACTCCCATTTAAAACAAATCCAACAAATGAAAACTAGGACATGCAAAATACATACAGGAGGGGCTAATTCTTTGCTTCTCCAAAAATATTATGTAAAGCTTTCCCATGGTATTTCTTAAAATAAGAAGCTTCATGTTTATATTTAAAATATGATTGCTATTATATCCAACATTACACGTCAGGGTCGTGGGGGAATTGAGAAGTTCTCAGGGTTCATTCTCCTCTTATTTACCTGTATCTCCATTTTCTTTCACTGTCATTTTTGTTGCCTTATGTTTTTAGATGACATATATCAATTTTGATTATATTTCCCTTCACACACACACACACACACACACACACACACACACACCTCCCAGCTCTTCAGAAAATACAGTCTGGGGCTCTAAGCGCTGCAGAAGACCGAGTTGGTCCTTCAGATTTCTTTGAAAATGTTGTCAAAGAACAATGAATGCCATGGAAAGAAAGGGATTTGCTGTGGTGACTTCCAAAGTCCTGTGAAGGGAGGACACTGACCCCATAACTGAAAGGAAATGGAGCAATCGAGTCATTCTTTTTACCTCCTCCCCCCAAAACACTTGTCGGTTTCCTGATGGATCCACGTGGGTCTCCATGGACCATTCTCTCACTTGGACACCGCTAATTGCTGTCTGGGCTGCAATCTGGAAAGGTAGACAAGCTGGAACTTTCTCCCGAGGCTAGCCATGAGTCAGGAGGACAGGATTCCAGACCCAGCTCTGCCATGTCTGGATGAGTGGGTCTGTGAGTCATTCTCCTATCTGGGGCACGCTTTTTCTGTTATGAAGGGGTTAAACTTGACTTCTTTGCCTCCTTCAGGTTCTTTTACTGTTGTTTCCTGACTTAGTGTTTTGCACTTATGTTTGCTTCAGAGAGAAACCTTGAGGCAGACGTCTGAGGTTGGTGGTGTAGCAAGGGCAGGATGGCAGAAAAGATCTGCTCACATGAGGGCAATAAGGGGTCATTTTATGTAGAAGGTTTAAAGATGATAATAACACTGACTAAAGTCAGACTACTTTTTATATCATCATGCAGCACAATCTTAAACAAGGTCCGTGGTTGAATCCTCTGGGGAGTACCAAGTCCTGTCATCCCCCCCTTTGAAGGCCACTGCTGGGCATGTGTGAATTTCAAGGAGCATAAGGTTAAGATCTCTTTATTCACTTAAGTGAAGGGAATGTTTGAGTAGGGAGAGTGCAGGGATACGGTCTCGCTCATCTCTGTGGTCCACCAGGGGCCCTAGCAGAGCAAGTGTGCAATCAGTGCTGAAGGGATTCCCTGGCCCTGGTCTACAGACCTCCCTGCATCCCCATCCATCGCCTCCCACCTCCTTCCCACCTCAGAGCAGGAGGAAGCTATTTCCTCCACAGAGGCTCCAAGTCCTTCCCTCCCAACCCTGAGAACTACCCCCATCAATTTCCCTCCTCTATTTCCAACTGCAGCCTCTTTGCTGATGCTGACCCCCAGCGTAGAAAAAGGCTCTGGTTTGTATCTTTAACTCAATTCTCTCTCTGGTTCTTGTCTTTCTTTCTTTCTCAGATGTGTCTTAAATGAGCAGAGCATATTTGTTACCTCACTGGTCTTCAAACGCCCATCCTCACTATTTCTCTCACATGTGCTTGCCAAGTTTATCAGCAGTCTAACCACCAAGTCCAAAGCACATGTCCTGTTTCTTTTCACATCCAGCACTAATGCCTACTTCCTGTTTGAAACTCTCTCTTCCTTTGGCCTCGAGGACTTTATTTTTCCAGTTCTTGAGGGGCTACCTTTCAGCTCCCACACAGACTCCTTCAGAGTTTCATCAGAGAGGTAGATGGAGCTAGAGGCACTTCTTTAAGAATCATCTGTGTGAAAGGCAGTGAGAGAAGAAGTGGTTGTGGTTGGACCACCCAGGGAGGAGAGAGAGGTCCGAAGGTGAGGAGTGGAGTGAGGAGCAGGAAAGGACACGGAGAGGGAAACTCCAGCATCACTTTCTCTTGGAAGCCTTTCCAAGCTCCCTCTTCTCGGCCGCCTTCTTCCCCTAGCCACCTCACCCTCACGGACTCGGCTGCCTCTCTCTGCTCCCTCTACCCTGTCCCATACCCCTGTGTGCAGACAGCATTCATAGACTTCTCAGGTGTAGGTAAAATGTTCACTTACTAATCTATCTTACCCCATAGGCTCTAAGCTTCTTGAGAGCACATTTATGATTTAATTGTCTCTTGCGTATAGAACATCATTCCTGCGAAGCAAGAGCTCCTGGAAATAACATGCTTGAATGAATGAATGAATGAATGATCTCAGGCCACTCCCTGTAGTTGCAGGGAGACACTTGGCTTATTCCATCATCCTTTCCTCTTCTGTGCTCTTCTACGGTTCTACCATAACTCCCTGCCAAGATGGCTTAGTGAGGAATTTTGAGAGTGATAAAATAGGAAGGATGTTCAGTGTTCTATGCAGTCGGGAAACTTTCCTGAGAGTTTTAAGCCTTGAAACTTAATTTATGCTCGTGTGTTCCAATGGTGCCTTTAAAATAGCCTTGTGTTTATAGCCCTGCACCTCCCGATCCTGAAGTAAAATAACAATTCTCTGTTTATTGCGTGAAAGTCTGGGTTCCTTAAAATCACCATGAGACCATAAAGCCTGCAGTATGAGTCACTTGTCCCAAAAATCTTTTGGGTCATGCCGTATAGATCTCTCACCCCGATGGAGAAAATCTATTACTCTGACATTATTAATAATAAAATATAATTTAAAGTTAAAAATAAATATAAGAAAATATAGAGATAAATGCATATGCTTCACTGAGTATAAAGGCTACGCCCAGAAAATTATGAAGATTAGAGAGTCATGAGGTGAGGGCCACAGCAGTCCCTTTCTTTGCTCCTGATTTCCAGCTAGTCGCCAGATCTACTGACTCTTGCTCCCCCGACTTCCTCATTATTGATTCTCTCTTTTTGTAACCATCACCCTGGACCCAGCTCTCATTATTTCATATTGGCATTTCTGTGTCTTATGATTGTGAAAATGCTGTCAGGACTGATGTGTGTTACATATTTCACATGTATTGTTTATGTCATCTTATCTGCCTGATCTAATTCTCTTCTCTCCTTCAATTGACACTGTACACTCTCCAGATTGATCTTGCTAGAACAATACTTGGGTTTTGTACTTTGCTGCATAAAACCCTCCATGGCTCCCCTCGGCCTATGGGATAAGGACCAGACCACCTTGCTGGGCCTTAGTGTCCTCTATGCCTGGCCTGATCATTGTCTCCAAATCTGTTGGCCAGTATGCCCCTTTCCGTCCAATCTGTTCTCCAGAATTCTGTGTTCCGTCCACATTTGCATCTTTGTTCACCGGGTCCCCCTTTGTCCTCCTATCCAACTCTAGTCTCCAAAGCCCAACATGAAACTTACCTCCGACCATGGGCCATGACACCTGTGCACGTCCACAGTGACTATTTTTTTTTTTTTTTTTTTTTGCTTGAGGAAGACTGTCCCCAAGCTAACATCTGTGCCAATCTTCCTCTATCTTGTATGTGGGACACCGCCACAGCATGGCTTGATGAGCGGTGCATAGGTCCATGCCTGGGGTCTGAACCTGAGAACTCCAGGCCTCCAAAGTGGAGCATTCGAACTTGACCACTACACCACCGGGCCAGCCCTCCACAGTGATTTTTAAAGCCTCTGAATGCTCTCATATACTGCTCCTCTTGCAGTGATTTTAAAGAATATTCAGAAAGGGACTGAAACTGGCTTTTGAGTGGTTTGTCCTGTCCCTTAAGCAACTTGTAAGAATCTGAAGGGCAGGTACATGCTCAAGATGCTCTTGTGTCTCCCCTGGTTCCTGTGCAGGGTAAACACTCAAAGATATGACGGAGTTAATTAATGTTCCTTTACATCTGGGGACCTCATATCTTTCTAAAGAATCTTCCATAAGAACATAAACTGTAGAGCTGAGTGTCTGGCTAATATTCATACCAAGCAATGGGCTCGCTCTGCTCGCTGCGATCTGAGCCAATTAATCACAACGAGTGAGAGAGAGAGAAACAAAGTTCAATTAGATTTGCCAGCAAATCAGAAGACAGGTGACTGATGTCTCAAAGACCCATCTTCCAAGATTACAGAATCTTGAGACAGTTATATAGGGAAAATGGGCTGCAAGGAAGGGGTTCAGGGATGTTGGTCTCCAGGCGTGACGGGCTCCAGGCATCACATTGTTCCATTCTGTCAGCTGTGATGGATACCTTGTATGTGCGTTTCCTGCCTGTGGTCAGCCTGTTCCTGGAGAGAAACTCATAGAACAAAGTTTTAATTTATCAAGGTATTGGGCAGTACATACGTAAGCAGAGGCCATAAATCATGAGAGCATGTGAATTTTCTGGAGTACATGCAGAACAGCGACTAGTCACACAGAGGAGGGGCTGGGGCCATTTGGTGTGACACGATGGCCTCACTTATGCTCA